TGACTTAGCGTTATAATGAAGATTTTAAATTTTCTTGCTGCTGGAATAACTTATCCGATGGAAAATTATTTTTTTCATTTTTATTGTACATTATCTCAAATTTACAATAAATATTGTATTAAGCTGTTTAACAAGAAATGTTATGATTTTCACTTTTACATAGCGTCAGAATATCAATTAACAAAAAAAAATTATTGAATATATTTGAACATATTATTATAATATACGAAATTCATTTTGTAAGGTTTAATTTAAATAATTTAAGTATATTATGAATAAATTATTATCGTTATCACAGAGAGATGTATCGTGACAATGACTATAAGCAAAGAATATTAGTTTCAAATTATAAACAAACATGTACAAATAAAGTTAAATTTAAAATCCTAAAAATGTTTTTCTAACCAAGAATATTAATTTGTGCAGCGGTCGATTTATTTGTGGCTGATGTAACGCATGAATATTATTACTATAACAGATAATAGTTTTATACCAATCTTTAAATAATTTCTAAAAAAGGATATACCCGATATGACCTGAACAATTTTGAAACATAAAGGGAGAATATCAAAAACAAAATAATACAATGCATGGGGGAGGAAATAATAATGAAAATTAAATTACATAATAAGAAAACAATGTAAAGTATGTAAATTCTAATTTTCTATGATGATAATAGATATTTTAAAAGCCTAAAATTTGTTTGTTTGATTTATTATAAATACGCTTGGCTTCGCCTTGTAAAAATCCCATCAAAGAAAAAAGTTCAAAGAACAAAATAAAAATCAACTAATCAAATTAATCAAAGAAATCAAATAAATATTAAATTCTCAAAATTACTTTTCAAATAAACTCAATCAAAAATGAATCCAACAACTATTACCTCTAAACCAATTGTTATTGTTGCTTCCGAAATAACTGAAAAACCTGATGGTAATCCTACAAACTCATGTTCTATAATGTAAATGGAAAATTCTTTCAACGACTTAACGATTTCGGTTATTACATGGCAAACCTATGAAGACCAATTTTAACCCTAATGACGTAGCTACTATTTATTACAAAATGGCCTGGCGCTATTATTTTTATTAAATTTCTTTATATTAACATGTATCATAAAAAAAATATCTTTGTAATTTAAATTTTATTTGTAATTTTCAATATATTTATTATATTTGTGTATATTTTTACTTACTTATTCATTAAAAATAAAATTTTTTTGATTTTACATAAATTATAAATTATCTAATTATCATATTATATTAAATATCCTTCTGTTGTACTTCATATTTCGAAGCTCAATCTTTCATTAAAAAAAAAATGATGCAATATTGTTTGTTACGTAAAATAGCTGTAGTCAGCCATGTGATCAACTCCTTAAAAATGTGACCTGTAAATCCAAACTATTTTAATCACCATTGATTTGAGAATAGGGATTGGAATCGATTCTGCCAAAATCGAATTAATCAAAAATCCGATCAGAATCGATTTAACTCGATTGTCAAATAAAAAATCGAAATTATAGTGCCGGCCAGAATTACGAAATTATATATAACGTGACATCGGATCTTTGAAATTTTGAATTGTGTCACATTGAAGTATTAATTCTGGCCGGAATTATAAAATTACCGCCGATCGCTGATTATTCGTGCAATTTTAAATGCGAAATCATAAAATTTAATAATAAAATGATTTATATGTTAAATTTATGATCATTGGAAATTTCCCTGTCACAAATTTAGTGATTTATCGAAATCGAAAATCAAAATTTTAGAATCGAAATTTGAGAAACTATTAATCGCGATTAGTCGATTCTAAAATCGATTCGAATTATGGAAATCGATTCCAATCCCTAGTTGAGAATATTGCTAATCATTTCAAAATTCTCCATTTGATTCGTACTTTATTAATAAATAATTTACAAATAATTAATAATATTAAACTACATAACATATTTAAATAATAATTTTAATTTAACTGTTAGTATATATATTTTTTATTATTATTAATAATAAAAAGTAGAAAGTATTAATTTTAATTTAATAATTAATAATAATATTTTAAAAGCAATTTTACCATAGCACGTCAACCTGACTTATCACTTAAAAAAATTTTTTATTTTTAAAATAAAAATAATTTATTGACAATAAAATAAACACAACTTACTGCAACACACCACCATCCAGATTTGGACACCATCCACCATCCAAAGGGGTATTGATGACAAGTCAGACATCGAAAAGAAGCCGGATTCGTCCTGCGTGATGATGTTGGACACGGTAGTTATTGCTAGGTAATGTTGTGAGAGGCGACCTTACTATCACTATTACACTGTTTGCGTTTACTTTTACGAGAAGATTGCTTGTAGTAATTGGATTTCTGTCATGTCGTGATATAGTAGATTTTTCACATTTTTTTTAGAGATATGTTGTCTCATAATTTTTGTCATTACTGTATGGAGCGAAGATAGGAAATCAATAGTAATGAAACGGAGATTCTTTGGTGTAACTGTAAATAATGTTAGAAAGTTCTTTAGGCACAAGTTGATGCATGGAGATTAAGTAGATCAGATGGCTTTCATACCAAAGATCTTATATTTCATTACATGTAAGTGAACCTACGTTAAAGGGATGATACAAATGAATCATCTGTGAATTTACAATATAATAATCAATAATTCATAATGTAGCTTGAGGGATACATATTATACATTTTTGTTAGAATAAATCAGATTACATTATAATAAATCCTAAACATAATAATACCTCAATTTTGTATTTACAAATCAAACAGTGGTTATCATATTGACTTCAATCGCAGATTTTGTTTTATTTTCACTTTCCTTTTCAAATTCTGGAATTATATTATTAATGTTGAGGACTTAAAACATTTTGTTTCTCTTTAATAACTTAACAAAACCCCAACATTTGAATAAACTATGAATTGGTTTAGATACATCTACAATTTAAATTATCGTATAGGAAAAAATTCAAAAAAATATAATATTTCAAAGAAATTCAATATAAGGAAATAGATTTTATTTCAACTTCCAGTTATAAAAGAAAAGTTAATATTATAACAAAAACAAAAAGATATCAGTGGAAAAAATTAACAAATACTTAAATTCTTACTGCAATAATTACTAGATAATTTTTCCGTTTATGAATTTTTGATTATTGGTCCAATAAATTAAATTGATTTTTTTTTTTGTTCATTTTTTTATTTTTTATTTATTTAACATGTACTGTATATAATACATTGCATTGTATGTTAATTTATAAGCCGTTACAAAAGCAAGCGCGCCAGCAGCCTTCTGTTTCTTAACACGCTATTACTTTTTGTGAACAACTGAATGTCAAATGGAAATTTTTTTAATAATAAACTTTAGTTAGAAATTGATGGAGCAGCATGATTTTGAGCGCTATTTTGAAGCTAGTAAATAAACAAAATACAGTCAGTTAAGAAAATTGCTAAAGCTTATTCATTATATCACTCATAAAATTTAAATATAATATAGAAATTAAAGTGTAAACTATAAAAAAAAGTTTCAAAACTCCAAAATTTTATTAGAAATTACCAAAAAAAAATATTACATTTAAATATATTATAATACGGTGTTTATTAGATAATACTACAATATGATTTATAATCCATAAAAATTTCACGACTTAATGATATACAGTTTATGACTATATACTATTTAAACATATTTCTCAGATATCATAACTATTAAAGGCTCATTATGTCAATTCTTTTCAGTGAAATCATCTTAAATTTTAATCATACTAATATATAATTGAATAATTTTATAAAGTAATTTATTGATAAGTTATAATATAAAAATATAAATTATTTAATTTACAAACTAAGAAATACTGTATTTAATCTTACTACTCTAGTCCTATTGTTTAAATAACTTATATAAAAATACTTAATGTGTAATAATATCATTACATAGCAGATAGATAGCGTTATCATGGTTAATTATCTATATCTAAAAATTTATTAAAAAAGACTTTAGTAGTGATTTTTTAAATTAATTAAAAATTTCAAATTTAAAAATAAAGAATCCTTACTATCCGGAAGTTCCAATTCATCTTGTTCTTCCGAATGAAGATTTGGATTATTATGTATTTCATCATCATCTACAAATAAAATAATTATTTAGAAAGTATTAATTAATTATTATTATAATTATTATAATCAGTTTAAATAATTATATTACATACCGTCAATATCATCATGATATTTTTTTATTTGTTGTTGCATTGTTTCTTGAATATCTAAAAATTAAAATAACGTTATATTCAATATTAAACAATTAAATTTGATAATATTAATACTTCTACTTGCCATTTTTCGAATTCCTTTTGAATATTTTGGATAATTTTTCACTACCAACTAAAAAATTTAAAATATAAACATTAATTTGTTTGATTATCTATTAAAGGAAATAATATTAAATATGTTTTATAAATTACCTTTAAAAATGCTAATTATTTTTGAATTATTCTTCTGATTATTCAACTTATCAAAATCATCAACTAATAAATAAAAATAAATCAAATAAAGTATCTTATTATATTAACATAAATCTAATAAACTTACTGTTATTGGGAATATGAAAGTTGTATGATTTATTACTGTGAAATGCTAATAAAAGAAAATAATTTATTATTTAATTATTTAAAATAAAAAAATATATATAAAATTGTATGTTAATTTATACCTTCTTGTTCTTCTGCATTATTATTTAATTAAAAAGGTAAGATTTTAATTATTGATATCAACCATATATTAAAAATCAAATAACAAATTTCAATAATACCTTCTGTTGCATTTCTTGGTTCAGGGAGATTTTTAAATTGATGAACTTTACTCGTAAATAATCTGCTACTATTTGTATAGTTTTCTAAATCACCTATTTCCAAACTATTATCTTCATCCAGTTGGGTTAATAATTCATTTGATTTATTTTGGTAGTCTAAATTAAGTTCTCTTATTCTTTTCCTAAGTATTTCAATGTCTGGTCTATTCGATGGATTAGCATCCCAACATTGTTTCATTAAATTTTTATATTCTAAAGGAGTTCCTGATATAATTTTTGGTCTTATACCATTAATTATATTTATTGCAAGATCATAATCATGTTCGTATTTAATAAATGGTGGTTGTCCAGATGAAATTTCCCACATAAGTATGCCAATACTATAAATGTCAGATTTAAAAGTATTTACTTTTCCTGCAATAACTTCCGGTGCAATGTAGGGAAGATTTCCATATACACTCTTTAATGGTTTATCTGCAGGTCCACAAAATCCAAGATCACTAATACAAAATTTACTATCTCTAAATAATATATTTCCGGAATGCAAATCCCTATGAATCACATTCTCTCCATGAACTCGTGAAAGTTCTATTATTATGTCAGCAGCAATTTGATTTCTTTCTTTCCATGTAAGTTGATTATGATTTTGTTGTAAATATTTTCTTAAATCTGTATCAAATTTATTCATTACAAGCATATAATCTCCATTTAATGGATCTTTTGTTAAACCATAACATTGGACAATCGCATCTGACCATTTATTACATATATTTAAATGCGAACTAGCCTATAAAATAAAGAAAATATTATAAAAAATTTTAAATGAAAATTACTATACCATTTTTAGATTACAAACCTCTTCAAACCAACGTTTATTTGCACTTTCAACATTTTCTAATCTTTTAAGTACCACATTATATTTCCTAATTCTTTTTAATTGTTGTTCATTAGAATCCCATCCATAATAACCTCCATCAACCCATTCTGCTGTATAAATTTCAGAATATCCACCTTTTGTTAAATATTTAATATTTTTTAAATTATTATATGGAATCCATTCAATTACGACATTCGGGTCAAGTGTTTTCATCTGACATTCTTGTATTAAATTGTCAATAACATCATTTCCAGATGTCCAATTTGAAAAATTATTTTTTAAATAATTTCGAACACAATATTCACAGTATAATGTAGCTAAACATTTTTGGTTACAATTTTCACAAACTCTTCTTGTTCCTTCATTATAAATAAGTTTGCATTTATCATAAATTGCAGTCAAAATTCTTATTGCTTCAGATTTTTCATCTTTTGTAAGTGATTCATCAGCAAGAATTGTTTGTTTCCGAAATTCAAATTGTTTGTGCATATTATTGTGAATATTATAATCCGTTAGTGCAGATGCTTTGTTAAGTGTAGTATTAATTAAATCTTTTCTAATAACAGACATAATGAAAAATTTCATTGTAAATTTTTTTAAAATTTTTTTCGGAACGGTCTATTTATAAAAGTCAATCATGTGTAATATTGACTGCGTATGTACTCCTGTACTCAAACCTAATTAGTCTAGTCAAATGATTTGTGATTTTCATTGTCAAGGAAAAATTTTTTTCCGATACAAAAAGTTCGATAATTTTTTTATTTTTTGATTTTCAATTTTTTAAATTAATTAATCTAACTTTACCATTTATTTTAAAGGATTCCAAAAAAAAAAAATTATTATTTGTCTAAAGGCGCAGGATCACTTGACAAAAAACGACGATCGTAACTATTAAATATATATACTATACATCAGAAATTTATACCATTAAAATATATTAGACAAATTTAATTATAAATTTGGATTTTAATGTGCATAGGATTGGTTAAATTGATAAACTAAATTTATATATGTTAAAAATTGTAATATAAAAAAATATTCATAATATTTCTTTAAGGAGACTATCTAAAATAATCAAAAGTCGAATTAACTTTCATAAACAGTTTAACTTATAATAAGTTGCTCCTCTGATGTGAAAATTTTTTTTTTTTCATTTCATCATAATTTATAAGTTTTCCATTTAAAACATCTCGATATATCAGGTATTTATTTCAGAGAAGCGTCTATATACGACATGTATGTCACGTCCGCTTTATATATGATACAGTCACTTTGTATTTGTTTTAAACATTTAACGTCTATATTATTAATATTATTGATCAATGAATAAGATATACTTATTTTAATGCTTATAAGAAGTTAAGTATTAAAAAAAATTCTGTTATTTATTATTTTAAAATTTTTTTTTTGAAGTTTTGGAAATCGAAACTATAAGAAAACTCAATTTTAACGTTATAAAATTTATTAGTACAATAATTATTATTTACTACTTCTGTTTCTTCAATTTTATTTTTTCTTATTTTGTCAATTTTTCATTATTTTCATTGATTTTTTTGTTATATTTTTTTTTACGTTTTTCTTTATTAGAATGTGTAAAACTAACGCTAATACTATAAAAGTTGTTAATTGCGATTATCAAAAATTTTTAATCTTAAAATTACTTATTCAAAACGAATTTTATTTATACTGAATCTTGATACGGAAAACACTTTTGTATTCTACTTTATTTTACTTTTGCGATTGTAAGTGACTGCCTATTTATCCGATTTATAATTTGAATTGTTCATACGCTCTTCGAATTTGTCGATAGTCTTCTGCTTTGGAGAAATTGTTCTAGCCTCGCCTGTTGCCTCAATTATTATTTGCATGAATCTTAAGTTTACAACTAGCTGATCTCTCATCGTTATTCTTCCATTAATATTACTATTATTGGATTAAGTTAATAAGTTTTTCATCTATTATATCAAAAAATTGTCTTACTAGCAATACTGTTCCTATGAAAATAATCGTTAAATTTTTGTACAATTTTCATACAAATCCATATGGAATCCCTACAATTATTGCAGTTTTATGATAAAAATAGCCATAGTATTCATAGTATTTTGTTTAATGTACTAAAAATGTATGATATTCGTACAATCTAAATAAAGTGTGTAATTTATGTTTAAATTTTAGCATACGATTATTTTGATATTCAATTTCCCTATGAAAAGTAATCATAATTTATGTACAATTTAAATATGATTTTGGTATAGAATTATGCACAATTAATTTTTATACATTTTTATATAATTATCAATTATTTAGTTTTTTCAGCCAAATATAAAAACAAGTAATATTTAATATTTTATTTCTTTAGTAATTCATAAAATTTGTGCGTACTTTCTATGAAATCACGTGATATGCATCAGGAAATTTTATTGTTCTATTTTGTATGATTACATATTTATTCATTTTTTTTTTCCTTTTTTCTTTGTTGATTTTTCAGCCTCACACCCATATTTTTTTTTAATAAATAAAAACTGAAAATAGCTTGTAAAGTTGTTTTTAATTATTAATTATAATGTTTTATTATTAAGTATTTTTTCAATATAATGTAAAATTACATACTGCTTTTCCACGTGCGGGGTTTTTCGTAATTTCAGTACTTTGTTAACTGAAATATGCCTGGAGGTTTAAGAAAATTTACATGTGGAGTAATTCTAATATTGTGGTAATATTAGAATGTAGAAAATGTAAATATCGGAGAAATATTGTATAGGTCTTTAGGCAATACTTTGCTATTTTCATTATTAAGAACTCCCATTTTGAAACGGTAATAAATTAAAATCAATATCTTTTAATACTTCATTATTATTTTTATTATTATTTAAATATTTATTATTATTATAAAAATTTCTTTTGGCTCGATCAAAGCATGATTTTATTCGTTAATGAATTCGGGTCGAATTTATGATGCAGGCCAGAATTTTGGCATATACAAATATACTCATTATAATTCCGGCCGCTGCCGGTTTCGGATATCAATAATTATTTATCTCCGGATAACTGTTTGTTTTCTCTCCATTTTTAATTTTCATTGAATTCGTTGTACAATCAAGCAATCCTTTCATTATATCCTTTTAGTAATTTTTTCATCCCGCCTTTCCTTTTAGACATTCTTTATTCTACCATACAATATACGTGCGCCAAATTTCAATACATATATAATGTTTGTACTTTTCCTTTTTTTACTTGATACAAAATATTTATATTTCGTTTTTTTGAAAAATAAATTTAAATAACAAAAAAATAAACTCACACAAGCTATGAAAAATGTCTCAGAATCAAGATAAACAGCAATAAACTTGCTTTATAAACTAAAATTTTGACATTATATATCAAATATTACAATTTCACTAAATATACATAAAATTCAACTCGTTCTAATTCTTTAAATATTAGAAAATCAATCATTATGAGGATTTGAGTGAAATCTCGGAAGTATGTATTATAATTAATATCAATCTTTTTTTTTTTTAAGGAGATTACTTTATTTAAAGATATGTTTTTCTTTTGCAGACAATAAAAAATAATAGTAATGTTCATTTTAGTGAGACGAAGCCAATTCATAATCGGTAATTGAAATGTTTGTTTTTCGTTTCTTAAAAATAAAAATTTTAACCCAGCGTCTTTATTAATAAATCAATCTCAGCTATTGTAAAAGAAAAAGAAATGTTTATTCAATTATTGCGAGAAATCTCATACACTAATTCTGAGAAAGCATCCTACGTACCTCTACTCGAATGAATTAGTACCTTACTCTCCTCTAATTGACTATTCAGCTGAAAGTATCATAAAATTAGATTATTTAATACTAAATAAGTTCTCCTCAGGCTCTCTCTTCTTAGTAAGTTGGACATCATGCTACGATTGCTATAGACAAATTGATATTTTTTATTAACATTTTTATTACAAATACTATTATTATTAAAAAAAATTATATTTAAATTAATTATTATTAATTGGTTTGCAAATTATTTTTGGACGAAACTTATAACATGTTAAATCGTATTAAACATACAGTACCATGTATTTATAATTTAATAATCGTTTGATTCGTATCATAAAATATTAATACAGATTGTAAGAAATCTAGCAATACATGCATACATATAAAAATTGGTTGTATGAAATTAAAAAAAGCTGTGTACACGTACTATAATAAATGGAAGAAAACTTGAAATAAATTAAAAAACTGTTGTTTGTATTTGTAATAAAAACCCGAGGAAAAAAATACGAAAAAACAAGCGATAAAATGAAAGAAATTTTGATATAACTCGAACAATTTGTTTGCGTTTGTAATAAAATCCGAAAAAGTAGAATAATAATAAACGAAAAAGTTTGTATTTGTAATAAAATCCGAGAAAAAAAATATGAAAAAAAAACAAGCGATAAAATGAAAAAAAAATTGAAATAACTCGAACAGTTTGTTTGCGTTTGTAATAAAACCCGAAAAAAAAGAATAATAATAAATGAAAAAGTTTGTATTAGTAATAAAATCCGAGAAAAAAAATATGAAAAAAAAAAACGGTGATAAAATGAAAGAAAAATTGAAATAACTCGAACAATTTGTTTACGTTTGTAATAAAAACCGGAAAAAAAAGAATAATAATAAACGAAAAAAGTGTTTGTATTTGTAATAAAATCCGTGAAAAAAAAATATGAAAAAAAACGGGGGATAAAATGAAAGAAAAATTGAAATAACTCGAATAATTTGTATGTAATAAAAACCGAAAAAAAAGAATAATAAACGAAGTAATATAAGTTTTTATATTTGATACTTATCGGAATTTATGTCACAATCATCGCAACTTGGTAAGTTTGGTAAGTTCAATAAGTCAGAATCATCATTTCTTAATATTACTGTTGTTTCACTTTCATTTTTAAAATTATTTGCTAAGCTTGTGCTGACTTTAGGATCAGTAGAATCAATAATTTTATCAAGTTCCGAATTTACTTTGTGAATATTTGGTCTTTCATCTGGTTCTTGTCTCCAACATTCTATTCAAATAAATTTCAAAATTAGATCATATAGTTAAAAATTAATAGTATTAGCTTAAACTTACCTTCATAAAGCGCAACGAATTTATCGTTTGTGTTTGGAATAGGTTTTTCTCTTTCACCATCAAGAATTTTTAATATAATAGATGCATTATCATTCCTTGTTTCATAATTGAAAGGTGATGAACAACTAGTCAATTCCCAGAATATAACTCCTAAACTATAAATATCTGATTTTTCGTTTAAATCGTAACCCTTAACATTATTAAGAATTTTAGGATCAACGTAAGGTATTATGCCACGTGGTTTAGTAGGTAGATAGGAAACTTTTTCTTGTTGACGCAAACGTGAACATCCAAAATCTGATAATTTTATTGTATTTTGATGTATTAAAATATTTTTGGAATGCTAAATAGAATGAATAACTTAATGTGTTAATTGGTGTTAATTATATAATATCATAACGATATTAAAATAAATTAATCACACTTACAAGATCTCCATGTATGATTTTGTTATCATGTAACCATAAAATTGCACCTGTAATTTCTTTGGCAAACTTAAATTGGATTTCCTATTTAATTAAAGATTTAGTGTTGTCTTTTAAATGATTTTCCAATGTTCCCCCGTCCGCGTATTCAAGAACGAATGAATAATTTATTCCATCCGATTCATCTTAAATTATAAAAAAATTATGTAAACAATACTTAAAATATATATCAAACGATCAAATGATTATCATACCTCATACCTTTTAATTTCGTAACTCCATAAAATCGAATTATATTTGGATGAGATGCTATCATCATTAAATTAATCTAAATGAATTCATAATATTAAAAATGACAATGTCAATAAAACAATAGGATATAGTATACTATATACTGTATAAACAGAGTTAATTATTAACATACTTCGTTAATAATTTCTTCCATGGAGTTTAAATTTTCATTAAATTCTTTAATCGCAAATTTTGTTGTGTTCTTCCAATATGCGACATGAACCGTAGAAAATCCTCCAGAGCCAATCTTAACAAAATTTTTAAATTCTTGAGAGTCATAGTAACAAATTATCTTATCATCCAATAATACATTAATGCTATTTGACTCACGTATCTTTATAAAATAAAATATAATTAATTAATAAATAAATACTAATTAATAACTAGTAATTGAATGGTTTTAATTTTAAATCAAATGTATCCTAACTAACTGAAGGATAAAAAAAAGTTAGGCTCAATATAATTCAATCAAAAAATAATAATTTACCTGTATATTCGTATTGTGCTTTTTTTTTATTAATAAAATGCAAGAATGTAAGTTAAAGAAAAAAAAAATAAATAAATAAATTAAAAATCACGTAAATTCATGGAATGATTGACAGCAGTAATATTGTTATTACTACCAAAAAAGTAAGGATTATGGATCTTGATAAGTCACAATTCACAATCGCTAAGAGAGAAAGTTATATTATAAGCTTGGGTGTAAAAGGATTGCAACCCAGAACGTAAGGATATTAGGATATTTGATAGTTTTTTTTTAAAACTAAAATTTTTTTGGTGATCGGTAATCGAAAAGTGTGATCTCCTACTAAAAGAACCGAAAAATATGGTTTAGCATGGAATTCAGGCATAATTTTTAGAGATACGTCATAATAGTTAATGAGTCGAGATCAAGCAGAAAATCGATTCTTGAGTGTTATATATTGTTCAATAAACTATCTATATTATGTAAATATCGTAAGCGCAATATATAAAAATTGTAGTTATTAAAGATTTTATAATATATGTAAATAATTGGCAATTGTACATTTTTTTAATATAAAAATTATAATTAATAAATTCAAAATTTTAAATAAAAATGCATGTCAATGTACTTCTTAGAATTATAATATCAGCTTAGTAGTCATATTAAAATCAAATTTAACGACTTACGACGTGGATCAAGGTAATTATTTCAATAGAGGTTATTTATTTAAATTTGTACATATACATATAATTATATATATGATATAATTTTTACATGTAAACTTACTAATTGGAAAGCCGATTCAGATTGTATTTCAGGACTTATTTACTAATCAAAACGAAATGATTATGAATATGTTCATATATTTTCTGATGAGTTTATCACTCTACAAGAAATATAAATATATTAATATAAATAAAATATAAATATATACATTTTGCATGATAATAATATGGTAAGTACTACTTCGTCGATTTTTTTTTTATTTGTATATTGGAAAATTTTAAAAAGTTTATTCAGAAAGAATGGCGTATTTATTTCGCGATCATTATTTTTTTTGTGCTACTGAGACTACTGACTAAATCATAACTATAAAATATATAAAATTCGATATTTTCGGACTTTTCGAACAATATTTTTAAAAAAGGCTAGTGAAATTTAAGATCTACGATTAATTTAGATGCTTTGGTTTGAATTAATTGTGTTACATTAGGTGATAGATATACAGATATACGACTTTTCGAACAATATTTTTAAAAAAAGCTAGTGAAATTTAAGATCTACACATTTTTTCGATTAATTTAGATGTTTCGGTTTGAATTAATTGTGTTACATTAGGTGATAGATATACAGATATACGACTTTTCGAACAATATTTTTAAAAAAGGCTAGTGAAATTTAAGATCTACGATTAATTTAGATGTTTTGGTTTGAATTAAATTGTGTTACGTAAGCACGGAAAGGTTGATGAAAAATCATCATGGTGCATGATGATTTTTCACCATGTTGCTTGATGACTTTTCTATGGAAAGCCATCCTTGACAAAAGGTTGATATCCAGACATCATGTTGGATAATGTCTAGACATCATGTTTGATATATGTAGGATGATGTTTGTACATCATTCAACATGATGCTCAAGCATCAACCGACATGATGTCTTAGACCTGTCTCTTATACACATCTAGATGTGTATAAGAGACAGGTCTTTCACATCATGTTGAATGATGTACAAACATCATCCTACATATATCAAACATGATGTCTAGACATACCATCATGATGTCTAAATATTATATTTCATGATGTTTGGACATCAACCTTTTGTCAAGGACGGCTTTCCATACTTTTCACCATGATTTATGATGACTTTTCACCATGTGACAAATAATTTTCATCATGTTTCCTAATACGGAATTGTTCAATATCCAAAAATAGCTTACCATGCCACTGGTTTTTTATATTACAAATTTAATAAATTTTAAGATTTTCTTTTACAAATTTGGAAATTTACCGATCCTTTGGCATTTTTGCAATCACATTTACCGGTATAAAACATTTTTTTGCCATCACATCTATGAATTTTTTTTTCAACTAATCTAAATTTTTTCGGTTCCTCTTTTTTATAATTTTCATTTTTTCAAATTTCCTTTTTTCTCTTTCAAAACACCTTTGTCTTTCTTTTCACCATTTAGATTTGGTTTTTTTTCCAAAACTGAAAAATTATTATTATTTTTTTTTTATTAAAAGTCTTTTAAGACTTATATTATTTTTTTTTTGGTCTTTTTTTTTTAGACCATATTATTGAATTTTATTTTTCGGTCTTTTTGGACCGAATTATTATTTATTTCAGAATTTTTTCGGTACTTTTTAAACCCGATTTCTTTCTTTATCCTTTTTCATTCCCCGTATTTTTTTCTTTTTCTTTTGAAATTTTTCTTTTTCAACCCGATTTTTCTCTTTATTCCTCCCCACAAATTTTTTTTTTTTCTTTTTTTCCGATTGACTTTTTTTCCAATCCGAAAATTTTTTCCCCTTTCCTTTTTCGGTTTGGCCTTTTTTCTTTCATACCGAATTTTTTTTCTGAATACATTCTTTCACCATTTAGGTTTGGACCGGTGATTAGATCAATGTTGCGGCGACACCTTTATTCCCGATTCTTATTATTAATAATAGTATTATTTTTTTGTATCAAGCTCAATAATAAATAGACTGACATAATTATTTATTTTTTGTAACAATAGATCGTTATAATTAATTTTTCTGGGAATTTTTTTTTTTCATATTAATTAGTAAGATATTTTTTTTTCTAGAGGATAAAAAAAAAAGATTTTTTTTGTAACAATGTAACAACAAACTACTTATACAAAATTGTTTTTGTAATGAATTTGTAAATTCCACAATACTGCAACATTTGTTTCGTGTAATAAATAAATTTTGTATTTAACAATAATATTTTATATATTGTATAACACTTGCACATGTTATTTATTCTAGGTCCAAGTGTTTCAGTATGGAAACTTCAGAACGGTGAATTTCGAAACAGTAAATTTCGAAATGGTAAGTTTCGTAACGAAACAATGCGAAACAATTTTTTTTATTTTTTTTAATAAGAAATGTTATTTATTCTAATGTTTCTTTATTTTTGCTGGTTTATTTTGACTTGGTAACTTCAGAACGGTAGATTTCGAAAATGGATAAAATTCATAATGCGGGCCGAGATTCATAGTGCCGGTCAGACAATTTTGGCCTGAATTTCGTCTTTCAGCTAGAGTTTCGTTGAGTTTTGGTCTGGCCTAATTTTGGCCGGGATCAAAAATATATTTGATCTAATCCTGGCCGAATTTTAATGCTGACTAGGATTGAGTTTTAACCGGTTATTAACCGGTTAAGACTTTTTGGACCGGTTCCAACCTCTAATCCCGGGCATTTCTGTTTGTGGGTTTAACATTTGTAGTATAAACCAATTGAAAATAGGTAGATATTAATTAAATTTGTCTTTAAACAGTTTCTTGTATTTTACATGAAATGACAAAGAAATAGCATGATAAAATATTCTAAACATTTTCTATTTAAAGATTTCAGGATACACAACATTACGTGTAACATTTTTACTTTGATTTCTTCTTATGCTAAGACTATATATTTATTACAATGTGCAAAAATTATTCTATTCTTTTTATAAATTCTGTAAAAGTAGTACTTGAATAACTAGGGCTAATTTTAATATGTTTTCCTAGTATTTTTAATTGAAAAAACTAAATAAATAAAATACAACCGAATTTGATTATGTCAAATAAATATTTACTAACTAGTATTAATATTTAATTCGTCAATTTTTCGATTAATTTCTTGTCTACTACTAAAATATAAGGTCAATCATTGAATTTAGATTTTGTAAAGATAAACGAAAATATTTTTACCTTTCAGTATCTATTTTAAAATTAAGTTCTATTGAAACATAATCTGTATCCAAAGATTTAGTTATTAGTATTTTGAATTTACTTATCTATTTTATTTTTACATACCTTTTAAAAGAATATTTAGACGAGCAATTAGAAATAATAGATTTTAATGATCTACTTATATAAATAGCACTTGGATGAGGGTTTTCACTAAACTCGGGACAAAGTTTCTTTAATTGTACTAATTCTTTCCTTTTTTTTCAGCTTGATTAAATTGTTCTATATCTTTATTTCTATATATACCATCTACCAAAGGTTTTGCGAATTTCTGTCATTGTAGATCTTTTTTTGGAATCAGGACTTTTCATTAAATTAGCAAAGCACTCTGGTGTGAACAAGATTTTAAAATAGTCAGTTATTATGTTATAGGAATTTAATCTCCATTATTTATTGTATATTAACAAACATTATATTCCATATATTAACATAAAAATATTGCTCTATTATTCTTCGATTATTTCAATATCAGCGACTCGTGAATTCACTGCTGATTTGACTTTCTGTGCGATAAAATATACCGTAATAGTGTATTCAAATGTAAGGTTTAATTTTCTTTTCCTGAATAAATAATGTGAAGGGTATAAAGAGTGACTAGTTGTGAAGCATCATATTTCATAAATATTTATTGATATCAATTTATATGTAATCTTACTCCAGCCACCAAGGTGTTGTATGAAAAAGTGATAACGTCATGATAGACGCAGCAAAAGCAGTGCCTTTGCATTACTTTATAAATAATTAAGTTGAAATTTTATGATATAAATATTTACAGTTTAAAGTAATCTATTACAGAGAATATTTATTTATTTAAATTAAATTAAATTATAGGTAATCGGAGTACATTCATGATAAATACTAGAAGAATATATTAATGATACTCCTCTTGCCCTAATTTGATCCAATAATTTTGTTTCTTCATCATTCAACACTCTTTCTAACTTTCCCATACCAAAGAATTTTAAACTATTATTTTCTTTTTTAATATAATTCAAAATTATTTTAAGATACTCTGAATGAATATTAATATTTAAACTAATCGTTTCAAAATGATGAGGAAGATTTTCAAAAAATGCTTCAAGTAGAAAAGTATGTTTAAATCCAAAAATAGTATATTGAAAATCAGAAAAAACTGAATAGAAATTTCCTTAACATCAAAAAATTTTAAATTTTTGGCAAAATTTCCCATCATTTCATCACTTGTAAAATTTCTAATTATATAAAGAAACAAATTACTAATTCTTAAATTTTTAAAATAAGGAATTAATGAAAAAACAATCTCTGGATCAATTGTTATTTTTAAATTATTAAGGTTTAAACAATATAATGATAAATACTCAATAATAAGAATTGTTAAATCACCATGAAAATATAATTTTTGTAATGATTCACCTAAATATTTGATTATTGAAGATGTAACTTTATCATTCCAAATGTTGCTCTTAATTGTTAACTCTTTTAGTTTAAATGATGCAAAATTTAAAATCCTACATTGATCAATTGATAATCCATCACAATTATAAAAATTTAAGTATTTAAATTATATAAAATTATTAAATTCTCAAAAGAAATATCACGAAAGCTAATAGCTACAAATTCAATATAAACTAAAGAATGTTTTTGAAATTCTAATGATGAAAATATATAACTTAATAAAGAATAACGTATAAATATTTTAAATGCTTCAAGTTTATTTTGCTTTTGAATTATTGTGCTAATGATTTTTTTAATTCTTATGGGAATTTGACTCCCTTTTGAAAATTCCAATTTTCTCAAATTTAAACAATTATTCGTTATACTTTTTAAAAGTACTTCTCCTTTGTTTGGTTTTAAGTTTATATCACATAAACTTAATGATTTTAAATTTGAAAAATTTTGTGGAATACTTTTTATATTATAATCTTGATAATCGCATTGGAATGAAATAATAGATTGTTTAATATTAATGCTTTTACGTAAATTTGATTGATGAAATGTTAAAATAAATTCTCTAACAATTCCATGATCTTCCTTTATATTTAAATATTCCCAAAACCAAAAAAAATTATTCGGTTTATTACCAAATAATCGTAATATTCTATATATTTTGAATATTCAAATAATGGTTTATTTATTATATCATTAATATTAACGTCATTAATATTAATATTATATTGATTTAATTGATTTTTAAATCGTAAAATTTCTGCTTTATTAAAACATAAAATAAAAGTAAAGATTATTTTGGATTTTTTATTATATTCATATGATAGTTGATTAAAAGGATTTTTGTAAAGTAAAGGAACCGTTTCTCTGCACCATAATCGATTAACCAATAAACAATTAAATAAAGTTGAACGATCATCTTGAAGGTATTTTAATATACAGTAAATACAATCATCTGATAGATAGGGTGAACTCATTTTCGTAAAAGTATTTCTTTATCTGATATATCGAAAAATTTCTTTCCATTTATATATAGACATTAAAACAATATTATATTTAAATTTGATTATTTGAATTGTGATCGCAGCATAGTCACGCAATGTCAAGGTAGAGTATTTATCGATCACATTTCATTTTTGTTGACCACATGAACCCAACATATTATAATAATATGCCACGTAAATTTGTCTAACCGTCCTTATCTATTTTAGGTTCGGTTCCGGACACCAAACGGAACACTGCGGGTAAGAGCGTCAATTTGTTTTTAATTTTTATTTTATTTGATTTATTACTAAAATTCGAAGTATTATTCTTCTCAACATCATGATAATATTATTTCAAATACAGTATTATGTAAGCATAATAACATTGATTATACTTTCTGCTAAAAAATTTCCCTTCCGTTCTTTTTCTTTCAAGGCAAATTAACTGCTTAATTAACCAAAGAAGTATTGTTAAAAAAAAACTAAATTTATGTGGAAACGGAGAATAATAATGAAATTTTATGAAATGAGGTAGAGGATAAAATTAAAGGAAATTTAGCGAAAATACAGTATGTGTAGAAAATAGTTCTTATTGAAATTTTTTAATGAAAGAGAGAAGCCAGATGAAATTTCACACAAAATACATGCGAAAGTGAAAATTAATGCGAAAATGAGGTAAGAAAAATGGAATGATATTAAACGAAATTTATTGAAAAATAATTCTAACTGAAATTTTTCTAATGAAAAAAAAAGAAAAAGGTAGTGAAACTGGATGAAATTTAATAATAAAATGAGGAACAACGAAATTTAACTTAAAAACACATAATATATAGACATACAGAGGTCAGCGCCAGCTTATTATTATGAAGAACAATGATGGCAAACGCAAAAACGTGACAAATTTTTTGCCCAATTTTATTATTTAAAATTATTTATTTATTACTAGATGCTAACGAACTATATTTAATTTTGTAGATATATTAATAATTAAATAGGACTAATAATGAAATTATGGTTTTGATGTATATGCGAAGTGTATATGTGGTCACCGATTTCTGGATAGCATAAATAATCTATATAGTATAATAAGTCAAAAAAAAAAAATTGTTAAATTGATTCCAAACCTTCGTGAATCATATCCTACAAACTCTTTATATTTAATTTACCCATATAGAATGACATCTTATTTCTTTTAATCTACAAATCAGTAATACTAAATATAACATACTTCTAATATACTAGTATAACGAATTAACAATTGAAACACATTTTATAATTTTAATAATATTATTGATTATTTTGAAGTACTTCTAACTTATTTTGTGCATATTGATAACCTTGTTTAGCAGATTTTTCATACCAATAAATCGCTTTAACTATATCTTTTGTAATCCCTTTACCTTCTTCATATATCCTAGCAAGATTATATTGTGCTGTCACATATCCTAAATTTGCTGATTTTTGATATAATTTAAACGCCTTTTGTGTATCAATTTTAGTTCCAATACCTATTTCATAACAATATCCTAATAAATTTATTCCACGTGGGTATCCTCCTTCAGCCGATTTTTTGAAAAATTCAAAAGCTTTATTATAATCTTTTTCAACATCATTTCCATTTTTATAACAATTACCAAGATAATACATAGCCATTATATTTCCATTATTAGCAGCTTTTTCATACCAATAAAAAGCTTTTTTTGAATCTTTTTTAACAGCTATTCCGTTTATATAAAAATAACCAATATCTAATTGACCATGTGTGAAATTATTATTGGCTGATTTTTCATAATATTCAAAAGCTAATTTATCATTTTTTGTAGTTCCTCTTCCATAATAATAACAACTACCAGCAAAGTATTGTGCAAATTCATGATTTTTTTCTGATGCATCAAGAAGTAAATTAAATGCTTTCTCCATATTTTTACTTGTTCCAATTCCATAAAAATTAAAATATCCAAGTAAAAAAATAGAATTTGAATTATTTTGATTACTTATTAACCAATTGTAAATTTCTTGTGAATTAATATTTTGATCATTAAAATATTCCATAGCTTTCTGCTTTAGAAACTGCCATTTAATTCTTTTATTTGCTAATTTAATTAAATAATCATTTATTTCATCAACTATTATATCAAAACCTTTTTCAAATGAAGCTTTCTCTCGTTCATTTGATACTGCTATAGGATCAGTTTCTATTATATTTATTTTGTTGAAATAATGAATTAGTTTTGATAATTCTCCTTGCGATTCTTGATTGGTTGGGAATTGTTGATCTATTATTCCGTTCAACAAATCAATTACTTGATATATGGTTGGTCGATTATCTTGTTTACAATCCCAACATTCTAAAAAAATGCAGGAAACATGATTTAAGATTAATTAAATAATATTAAAATTAAATTTAAATTTAAAATATTACTTACTAGTATAAATTGTTACATATTCTTCAGGTGTGTCAGGAACAATAGTTTCTCTAAGACCATTTGAAATTTCCAAAATTAAACTAACATTATGTCGATCGTCTTCAGCATAAAAAGGTGGTCGCCCACTTGATATTTCCCATAATAATATTCCAAAACTGTAAACATCACTTTTTTCATTTAATGAATACATTTGCGTTGTTTGATTATTATCATTTCTTTGTCCGTTTACTCCGTTAAAGGTTTTTGGATCAACATAAGGAACCATCTCAAATAATTTGGATTGACAATTAGATGATGTTCTAATTCCTGTCTCTTATACAATTTGGATTGACAATTAGATGATGTTCTAATTCTTTTTGATAATCCAAAATCTGCCAACTTGATCTTGTTTTGATGAACTAATATATTGCCAGAATGCTATTAAAAAGGAATAAAATTGAATATATTAAAAATTAAGTAAATACAAATATAATATTATCAACAACAATGATTAAATAATAATAAATAAATTACCAGATCATGATGGACAATTCCCTCATTATGCAAGCATGATACGGCGCTAGCTAACTGGAATGCCATAAGGCATTTATCATTCCAAGTAAGCTTATCAAAGTTATTCTTCAAATAGTCTCGAAGATTACCACCGTCTGCACATTCCATTACCAACATATAATTATAATTATCATAATTTTCTGAAAGAAAAAGTTACATATATTTATATATTATTAGAAATGCATTTTTATGAGTAAAATTCAATATATTGCATTTAAAATTTTTATAATACCTGATTCGAATTTTGTTATTCCATAACAATACATAATATTATCACGAAGATCATTTACACGTTGGATTTTTAACTAAATAAATAAATTCAAAATTTTGAAATAAATATACTAATAGACTAATAAAGACCGAAAAGACCAAAAAAAAAAAAAAAAAAAAAATTATTGTACACTAAATTACCTCACGAATAATTTCTTTCAGAGTGATATTGTTAAAATTAAAAAAAGATTTTATTGCAAATTGTTTTTCTAAATTTTTATCATAATTTGCACGGTATACTTTTCCAATACTTCCAACACTAATTTGTTGAAAGTTACTAAATTTTTTGTATTCGTAAAATTTTAAATGTTTTTTAAAGATAGCTTCTTCAATCCAGTTAATAGATTCACTCATATTTTCGGTATCTTGCTTTTCGATATTGTCAGACATAATGAATAATAATTTATTTAATTTATTTGCAAAAAAAAAGTATTAAAAATTTTAGAATTGAGTTGAAAATTTTATTGTGTAAACGACTTACGCAATATATTCTCCGGTCATAGTTACACAACGCCCATTAGCATCACCGAAAATCATTAAACGCAGTCACACAGTACTACAGTCAATAACACATTCTGACAATAATAACAATAATAAAGTAATTTCCATTTACTATATATATTTTCTCATTTTTTAACCACTACGTATGTATATTATGACTTTTTGCCAAACTAAAGGGGATTAGAACTATGCCGATCAATTAGCTGGTGCACAAATTAAAATTTTAAAAAATAGTACTATCAATTAATCCCAACAACGAGACTGTAACCCAAGGTCACGGTACTTCATATTTATTTCCCGCAGCTACTAACAAAATAGGAAAATATATATACTGTATATCGCAAATCGGCAAATCATTATTTTCTTTCACTTCGGCGAAATGATTCCAAATTATCACAAGTCTTGTAGTTCTAGAACGACATTAGTAAAAATATATACATTCAGTTAATAATAAAAATATACTCGTTAAAGAATAATTATCATTAAAATTTTAATAAGTCTTTTATTTGTAAATTAAAAAAATTAAATAATAATAAATACATGTATATCAAATTTAAAAAAAAATATATAATGCAGTATAGCAAATTTAATTGATTTAAATATCAAGAATCGAAAGAATTTAAGAATTTAATAATTTTTCTAATTTTTATTTCGCATCTTGATACCCTTGTTTGGAAGATTTACCATACCAATAAATCGCTTTATCTATATCTTTTATAATTCCATCCCCATGTTTATACATATTACCGAGATTATACTGTGCTACCATACTTCCTAAATTTGCTGAATTTTGATATAATTCAAATGATTTTTGTTTGTCAATTTTAGTTCCAATACCTTTATGATAACAATATCCTAACATTGTTATTCCATTTGAATATGAATATTCTCCTTCAGTTGATTTCTTGAACATTTTAAAAGCTTTATTATAATCTTTTTCAACACCATCTCCCCTTAAATAACATCCACCTAAATTATGCATAGCTATTATATTTCCATTATTTGAAGCTTTTTTGTACCAATAAAGAGCTTTTTTTAAATCTTTTTCAATGCCTATTCCATATTTATAACAATAACCAGTATCTAATTGTCCATTTGTAAAATTTTTATTAGCAGATTTTTTATAATATTCAAAAGCTAATTGATCGTTTTTTATGGTTCCATTTCCATGTCTATAACAATTTCCAACAAAATATCTTGCGAATATATGATTTTTTGATGCATCAACAAATAAATTAAATGCTTTTTTATAATCACGTTTTACTCCAATTCCATAAAAATTAAAATAGCCAAATAAAAAAATAGAATTTGAATTGTTTTGATTATTCAATAACCAATTATACATTTCTTGCAAATCAATATTGTAATTAACAAAATAATCAATAATTTGTCGCTTTAACATCTGCCATTCAATTCCTCTATTTACAAGTTTAATAATATAATCATTTACTTCATCTATTATGTCAAAACCTTTTTCAAATAAAACTTTTTCTCGTTCATTTGATAATATTTTAGGATCAATTTCTTGTATATTTATTTTATTAAAGTTTTGAATAAATTGAGATATTTCTCTTTGTGATTCTAGATTCTCATTAAGTTCTTTCTTGCTTGAGAATTGAGTATTTTGTGTTACAACTGTATTTGAAATGATTTCTTTCAACCAATTAACTACTTGATATATAGTTGGTCGATTATCTGGCTCATTATCCCAACATTCTAAATAAAAATAAATAAATTTATGATTAACTAAATAATATTCAAATTGTCATTAAATTTAAGATTTTTACTTACTAGTATAAATTTTTATGTAATCTTCAGGTGTGTCAGGAATAATAGTTTCTCTAAGACCATTTGAAATTTCCAAAATTAAATTAACATTATATCGATCGTAAAAAGGACGTCGCCCACTTGATATTTCCCATAATAATACTCCAATACTGTAAACATCACTTTTTTCATTTAGTGTATTTAGTGTATATATTTGTGTTGTTTGGTTATTATCATTTCTTTGTCCGTTAAAGGTTTTTGGATCAACATAAGGAATCATCCCAAATAATTTGGATTGAAAATTAGATGATGCTCTAATTCTTTTTGATAATCCAAAATCTGCCAATTTGATTTTGTTTTGATGAACTAATACATTGCCAGAATGCTATTAAAAATGAATAAAAATGGATATATTAAAATTAAGTAAATATAAATATAACATTATCAACAATGATTAATGATTATAAATAAATTACCAGATCACAATGAACAATCCCCATATTATATAAGCATGATACAGCGCAAGCTAGCTGGTATGCCATAAGGTATTTATCACTCCAAGCAAGTTTACTGAAGTTATTCTTCAAATAGTCTCGAAGACTACCACCGTCTGCACATTCCATTACCAACATATAATTATAATTATTATCATGATTTTCTAAAAGAAATATATATATATATATATATTATTGTTAGAAATGTATTTTTATTAGTAAAATTCAATATATTATGTTTAAAATTTTTATAATACCTGATTCGAATTTTGTTATTCCATGACAATACATAATTTTATCGCGAACATCAACTTCACGTTGAATTTTTAACTAAATAAATAAATTCAAAATTTTAAAATAAATATGCTAATAGACCGAATAAAAAAAACTTATTATATATATTAAATTACCTCACGAATAATTTCTTTCAGAGTGATATTGTTAAAATTATAAAATGATTTTATTGCAAATTGTTTTTCTGAATTTTTCCAATTTGCACGGTATGCTTTTCCAGAACTCCCAGAACCAATTTGTTGAAAGTTACTAAATTGTTCGTATTCGTAAAATTTTAAATGCTCTTTAACGATGGCTTCTTCAATCAAGTTAGTAATAGATTCATTCATATTTTCGGTATTTTGCATTCCGATATTGTCAGACATAATGAATAATGTTATTTGACAGAAAAGGTATTAAAATAATAGGATTGAACGGTCAACATTATTGTGCAAAATATTTATGCGGAATAATTATGTTTCGATTATAGTTGCACAGCGCCACTAGTATCACCAAACAAAAAAGGATTATTAGACGCAGTAGACGCAGTACTGCAGTAATGACGTATCAGCGATCGTATCACGAAAATAATAATAATCAAATTTTAACGCTGAAAATATTACCAATCATCATTTTAAGTTCGAACTTATACCATATAAATTGTTCTTATTTTTTAGATCACATTGGGCAACGTATGTATATTATGAATTTTTGCAAACCTTAAACCTTTAACAAGTTAATAAACTAGTAGGAGATTAGGGGACTATGTCGATCATCTGGCTGGGTGGAGAGACTATTCATTATTATATACTATCGTCGTTCATGATCTTTTCTTTCATATATTCTGTATTACTGATATACTGTACTAATGAAAAATAAACATTAATTATTTCATGTCGATTAATTTTTTCAGAATAAAATGATTTAAAATCTTCACAACATTGATGAAAAGTATATACATTCAGTTAATAATAAAAATATACTTGCTAAGAATAATTATTAATATTTTTATGTCTTTTATTTATTACATTTTGTAAATTAAAAGAAAATATAATACAGTGTAGCAAATTAAATTGATTTAAATACTAAGTAATAGAAACTGTTGGAGCCCGAAGCGTTATAATCACATGTCACATGATCATTATTAATGTATGGATAATATAAAAGTAAATAAAAAGCCTTTTCTAAATCTTTTTTAATACTTATTCCAATGTTCATAAAGACAACCAACTTCTGATTGTCCATGCGAGAAATTATTATTAGCAGATTTTTCATAATATTCAAAAGCTAATTTAATATATTGGCACTTTAAGAATATGCATCTTACACGATGAATTTTTAATTTAATAAATTATTTTAATACCAGATCATACAAAATTTGTGTTCTTTTGTTTTGCTGAAATCAATCAATATATTATAGATTACTATACATTAAACGCGTAAAATTAATAAATTTATAAATTTTTAATAATCAACATAAATTTTATTAAATAAATAGTTCTTTTTTAAAATCATAATATTGACCATAAAGAAATGACTTATAAAAGTAAAACATTACCACAATAGAAACTTTTAGAAAAAATAAGTCTATATATATAAGCGTCACAAAGTTATAACTAAGAAACCAATAGAATACTTATTTGCCCTTTCACAAAAAAAAAAGTTTCTCATTCGCTACTTTATACGAAGGTTTTTCAAAAAAGTATTTTATTTAATATACAAAATTCGTGTTCCTATTTGCCATATTGATCATATGAAATTACCGTATGCCTTTTCATCTCGAAAAAAAAAAAAATGAATTTTAGTTAACTTGATCTAATTACCTTAAGTATTAACCAAACTATTTATTACGCATAAAATGATATAATCAAATGAAATTTCACTAAGAATTTGTAACAATTATCATTGAGCAAAGATACATTGAGCGGAATATTTGCAGTTGCAAATATACTTACTGTATTACAGTTTTATGTTTAAAATCTTTATTTATATAGAATATTCTTAAATATAAAATCCAATAAATCTATATGTAC